TTTTATAACATATTTTGCATTTTTTACGCTGAATTGATTTTCGTTTATTCAGCGCTTAAATTTTTATTTTTTTTTTATTATTCATAAGTAATCGGGGCTCTCACCCCTGACCGCCGTGTCTATATATATATGTCTGTATATATATATATTTATATATATATTCATGTACTATAATTTGTTGATGGCCTAGTTAGTTTAAGTATATGGTTTGCTCCATGCTTTCTCTAGTGTTTTTGTAGGGTATTTCTCATATGTCTGTCTGCATAGGCGTAGTTGGTTTGTAGTCTAATTACTATATAGTTAGTTGCATTATATCGTCATCTATATAGATACATATATGTAATATGGTTGTTGTTGTTACTGGTGTTGTTGTTGTAAGTCACAATATGGTTGGCTAATTTATAGATTATCATATATGTATGTATGTGGACTTTAGTTAAACGTTTATGTTAGCTCTTAAATGTTGGTACGCAAATGGAAAACCTAAAAACAAAAACCACAACATATAATTTATTTAATTTCTGAGTGCGGCTTTCGTTAAGTATAGATCATGTACTATAACTATATATATATATATATATATATATGTATGTATACATATACTGCCTGTGTTTGCAACATCCACAATATGATTTAGTTTAGTATGATTTGCTTCCTTTGCTCATGTGCTACATATCTTCTATATATATAGAAAATATATATATATATATATATATATATATATATATATATATATATATATTTGTAACTGCACTTAGGCAGCACTAAGCGTTAATGCTTTTTAATTGTTCTTTTATTTTAGTTTTTGCCTTTTTCTTTAACTAGTTTTACACGTTTTATTTTCATTTGTAACTATTCGCTTGTTGTTCAGTGTAAAGTTTGTAGTTCAAGTTTTAATCGTAGGCCTTTGCGACCTTCCCTCTCGCTCACCCGCTCTCTTTCTCCCTGTCTTGGGCAGTTTAAGTGTTTTGACTTTGGCTGAGCTGCTCGCTAAGTATGAATAATATATATTTTTTTTTTTCAGTTTTTTTTCACGACTTTTGGGCCAGCCAAAAGTGCAGCTCTACATAATTAATTTTACTTTATTTTTTTTAAATATTTTTCAGGGTTTCTCAGTTCAAGCTAAATGTCGCAATTTGAGGTTAGTTGGGTATTTCAAAATTCAATTAAATTTTGCATTGGGTGGCTCCATTTCTAAAAATAATATAAGATAAAATAAACATAAATAAATACGAAACACTTAACTTCAGCTCTGAGTCATCTGAATATAATTTACGAAATCAAAATCAAATTTCTATTTTTTTATACCACATTTTTGGGCTTGGCTATGAATTTATGACTGGCGCTGTTGTTGGCTCATCCTAATGCCTTAATTTAGACTTTATTTTTAATTAATAATGAATTTTTTGTTAATTTATTTAAATCCGCTTAAATGGCTCTGCCGTATTTCTACCTGCACAGTCACGCATACAAATTATGTTAATTAGTTACTGCGACTAACGATACATTTCTTTCTCTCTCTCTCTCTCTCTTCGCTTTTTATACAATTTAATTAAAGCTTATTAAAACTGTCACTAACTAAACAAAACATATTAAAAAAAGGCAACAAATTCATTTGGCATAAATACATATTTAATTGTAAATGCGGTACTTAATTTACGACTTTAATTAATACTGAAAACCGATTCAAAAAAGTTGGCTGTCATTAACGAAAAAACGAAAAAAAAAACGGGAGAAAAAATAAATAAAGATAAATTATGTATGTATATAGAAACGATTACAAACTTCAGTGAAGCATGCATAGAAAATTAGTGTATTTAAAATTTTAATTTAAATATATTTTCGAAGTGGGCAAATGTTTTAATTAACTCGCAAATCCAATCCAAGCGCTTGGCTTAACCTGACCCCAAATTCATCCACTTGCAAGAGTGCGAAAAAAGACGGAAAATGAATGAATGAATGGCAAAAAAACGACAAAAGCAAAAACAAACACAAACTGGTTGCCCAGGCGTTGGCGATGGCTTCGCATTTACACTCTCATTCACTCACTCGCCATGTCTATGTCTGTCTCTGTTGCTCTGCTCATAAACTTGGGCTTTATGACCAGCCTCAATGCGACGCGGCATCCCTGTAATGCTCATGCTAACCCGACCCGCCCTCGTCACCTGCTGCACCCACAGACACACACGCACACATGCACAGACACCGTTTGTTAGACAGCTTCCGCTGTCGACGTCGTTGTCTGTCTTTGCTTTTCATTTTGCGCTCTACTTTAGTTTTTATCGCATTTGTTGTTGCTGGCGGCGCTTGCTCTGCGGGCTCTGTGAGTGTGTGTGACTTTGTATTTGTTTTTCTTTTTTAGTTGCTGGACTTTGTTTAATGCGCTTTGCGTCATTTCATTTTGAACAATTTTCGTGCGTTTTTACTGTTTGCATTTTTCAGCTTATATTTAAAAATAACTAATCATTTCTGTGCATGTGTGTGGCTCACTTCTGTGTGTGTGCTTAATGTGATTTTGTATGCGCGCTTTGGGTGCCGTTTTATTTGCATGATTTTGTTTTTGTGTTTGCTTTTTTTTGTATTTTTTCGCCTTTTATGTGTTTTGGCTGGACCATTATTGAGTTTATTTATCTCTGTTGATGACTTTTAAATGGCACCTGCCTTGCCTTGACTGTGGGTTGGGGGGAGATACCGTAATAAATGCCAAACGCAAAACCAAATAAACCCACAAATTAATTATTATGTAAATACAGAAGAAAGCTAAAAGAAAAATAAACTTGTGTCTATACGAACAATCGATTCACCTACTGATTAATTACAAAACAAAAACCTCTAGGGCTATGCAGTCACACATTAGCGTTGAGCTCATTTCTATTAAAGAAAAATAAATAAATAAATGAGAATGAATAAAAAAACGAACACTTGAATTTTCGAGTGCTATACTTGAGGAACAGGCACATTATCTTTGAAGATTTGCCTTAAAAATACAATCAACAATCCACTGTAAAGTGCAGCTTTTGATTCATTCCAATTCAGCTAAAGCTCAAGCACCTTCACACACACACCCATCTATATACATGCACTAAGTAACATGCATGCACCCATAGAATATGACAACGACCTCGATTTGAATGGAAATGACTGGAAAAGAAGGGTAGGGGAAGAGATAGAAATACACAGACAACAGTGGGCAATAGCTGACATTTTGCGTTGTTTCAATTGATTGCATTGAATCGAATTCTTTTAGGTTTGTAGTGAATTTTAATTACTGTCAATTGATATATTCCTATGGAATTCTAATCTATATATGAATTTAAAAAAAAAAACAACTAATAAATTGACATCAATTCTCTGGCCAAAATCAGCATACAGAACGAACGTTTTTCAACTTGTCTGTTTCATTTCATTTCTTTTTAGAGTAAACAAGATTTGATGACGCTGCTTTCTATATAGTATGCCATATAGTACACATACACATACATACATACAAACTACTATAATTGGAATTGTGGTCCACATAAGCAGTCGCGGCCAGTTCCTGTCTCGGTTTTTGTTGTCGTGTCTTGTCTTGTCTTGACATGAGGAGTGTGGACTCGTTTGAATTTAGGGCAGAGACTAAAGTGAATCATGTGAATGGATTCGCTTTAACCGAGTCACAAATCAAATGGCTAAACGAGTCCACTTTTGGTCAATGGGAAACGGATGTCGTTTTCTGCTTTACGCCTCACTCTGTCTCTCTCTATGCTTTTCGTATTTGAGTGAAACGTTTTGTTTAATTGAATCGACAGCTGTTTTATAAATAAATAGAGAGAAGAAGATATGACTACCCTTGTTTTCTTTTAGCCGGATTTCCTATTAAATTCGAATTCATAAGCAGGAAATTAGAAATTTAAAATGTTGCGAAATAGGTTTAAAAATATGTCAAGTTATCAGTCATAGGAGTCTATTTGAATTTAATTAAATGATATCACACGGGCAGCTGAAAGTGCTCTGCATGGCCACATAAAACTAATCTCTGTAAACATAAAACGCCCATTATTATGTGGGTTGTGCTTATAATTAACGACTTCGACTGCGACCTCCCTGTTATTTTCAACCACTGTGCGTGCGAAGCAGCACTGGAAAGTCTTCCATCAATGACAACAATCAATCACGGCGATAGACTGCGCGAGGGATGTGGGATGCGGGAGAGGTAGCTGACACCAAAACCGAGGCATAGCACGAGGCGAGCAAGAAATCAAATTAAAGCGGCTCACACAGTGACAACAACAAGGCAAAATAAAATTCAGTGTAGAAAATAAGAAGATAAACTAGAAGAGAGGCGACAATCTGTAAAATAATCCAACAAAGTACCGACGGCAAATGCCGTTACTGCGCTCTCTTACGGCAGTCAAATCAAATGTTGCTGCCGCCTGCTCTCTCTCTCTCTCTTTGTTACTGTCTTTCTGCCTGTCAATTGAAAATACCATTTGCTAAACTTTAGTTTTTACTTTGTTTTTTTTTTTACCGCATATTTCGCTTCATGTCGAATAATTTGGGAATCATTTTATTTGCATTTCAATGTGTCTGCGTTGTGTATGTGTATGTGTGTGTTTTCAAGTTGCAGCTGATTCTTCTTTTATTCTTTTAGTTATATTTAGCAAGTTTTCAACATTTTACTTTGACTTGGATAATAGCATGGGCTGTTTTTGTTGTTTATAATAATAATTAAATAAGCATATGTTTTAGTTTTTAGCATTTCATTTACTTGTTATTATTGTTGTTGTTGTTGTTGGTTTACACGCATTGTGTTTGTTTTGTTGGTTTTTCCTTGTTGTTTAATTTAAATTAAATTAATTACTAAAATTATTTTATAACAAATATCACTACAATAGTTTGCATTTTTTTGTTTGTTTTTTTTTTTTCATTTCTTTTCTCTTCTTACTTGTTTGATGTTTATCGAGTTACTACAAATTACTTTAAAAAAAAAAACAAGTAAATTTTAATTATTTTCTTTTCTCTTTTGGGCTTTTTGGCAACAATCGTTCGCAGCTAATTTAGTTATAAATCAATAATTAAATATTTACTGGCTTTCCAATCGCCTGGGCGTTAATACGAAACACTTTTCAATTTAACATTAACTATTTATATGACAATAAAAAAATTACATGAGATGAACTCAAAAACTGAGTGGATATTACAAAATTTCTTATCTTTCTTCTTTTCAGTTTATCACAATTGTAATTCTGTTTTACTATTATATTCTCTCAAATAGAAAGCTATGCAAATCAAAAAGCCGCCGCTTCCTCTTCAGGGGTGCTCACGCACATTCACTCAGCGGATCTTTTTTACGGTCGTCTAAGCGTGCTGAAATACCAACACATATGCACATGCAATTGCTTAGGGCACCGTTCTTTTGCGCTCTCTCGCCCTATGTAGGTTTTCTTTATTGCCATACCGTTCGTTTCGTTTACATGTTTAACACCAGGCACATTGTAAGCCCTACAGTAAAACAGGGTACAGTGAAAGAAAAAGAGAATAGTATAACAGGATATTTAAAAAGCGTTTGCAGTGGTTTTTTCTTTCATTTTCTGTTTTCTACTTCATTGACGTTTACTTTGTAAGCGTCTGTCTCAGTTGTTGTTGCTGCTGCCGTTGCTGTTATTGTTGTTGGAGGAGGATCACACGTTGTAGCAGGAGATTTGCTGCAGTTGTTGGAATGTTGGCGCTGCCGCTGCCGTCGCCGACGTCGCAGCCGTACCGAAGGGCACAAACGAAGCTGGGCCCAAGTTAGCGCCGGCAGCTGCTGCTGCGAGGGAGGCGGCCGCCGCCGCTGCTGCTGCGTAGGGATGCATGCGATGCTGCGTGCGCAGATATTGGCGGTATTTGCCGCTCAGTTTGTCAGTCGACGCTGTGGGCGGCAGCCGGTGCATGGGCGTGGCCTCAGGACCGGCCTGATAATTACTAGGAACAGTTGCCATCGGCGAACGGTCAATTAGCAGCGCGGTCGCCGCCGCTGCCGCCGCGTCCCAAGGAGCAACAGGAGGTGGTAGGCAGTGCTGCTGCTGATGCTTGGCAGCGCTGCTGGCGTAGTTACTACTATTGCTGCTGCTGCCTGATAGCAAAGCATCCCGCTTGCCGGCGGCGTTGGCAGAGGCGGCGGCTGAATTGGTGGCTGCGGCTACGCTGTTGCTTTTTGCTGAATACAGCGATGCCGCATGTTGCAGCTGTTGATGTGTGTGTGTGTGTGGGTGCGAGTGCGTATGTGGGTGGGAGTGTGTGTGTGCGTGTGGGTGTGTGTGTGGGTGCTGTTGTTGCTGCTGATGTGGCGTTAGGGCAGCGGCCAACTGTTCCCATTGACTCGACGCCGACGCCGCTGCTGCTGCTGCTGTTGCGACTGAGTTGGCTGCTGCGTGGCTTTGGCTTTGGCTTTGACGACTTTGGTTGCGATGTTGCTGTTGTTGTTGCTGCTGTCGCAGCTGTTGTTGCTGTTGCTGCTGCTGCTGCACTGGATACAGCGCCTGCTGCGACATTTGTGACATTTGCTGCTGTTGCTGCTGTTGCTGCTGTTGTTGTTGCCGCAGCTGCTGCTGATAGGCTGCCTGTCGCTGTTGTTGTTGCTGCTGCTGTTGCTGTTGTTGCTGCTGCTGCTGCTGCATTTGGGTCTTGCGTCGCGCTGCGCTGCTGCTGCTTGGCGCTGACGCCACTGTTGCCGCACCACTGCCCAATGCCGCTGCGCTGCTTACTGCGCTGCTGGCAGCACTGCGTGCGCTCGCCGTCGCAGTCGCCTGCATGTTATTTACGAACGGGCTGCGCCGCTGCGACTCCATTTTGCGAAAATAGCAGGGATGGATCATCAGCAGCGGCTCGACACGCTGCCCGGCGGGCGGCTTTGGCTGATTGGGCAGCTCGTACTCGACGCTGCAGTCAACGTGCAGCGGAATGCTGTAGTCCTTGTTGCTGCTGACTGCACTGCTGTTGCCACTGCTGCTGTTGTTGTTACTGTTGCCGCTGCTGCTGGCGCCGTTGCCAACAGCTGTTGCTGTGGCGTTGCTACCGCGCTGGCTGCTAGCAGCAGCGACCTGCGTCCCAACTGCATGGCGTGTGTTGTTATTGTGGTTGTTGGCGGGTGGCTGCTGCTGTTGGCGTTGCTGTTGCAACAACTGTTGTTGATGCGCAGCAACTGCAGCATGATACATATGTTGTTGTTGTTGCTGTTGCTGCTGTTGATGATGATGATGCTGCTGCTGTTGTTGCTGTTGCTGCTGTTGCTGTTGTTGCTGCAGCTGTTGCTGCTGCTGTTGTTGCAGCGCTGCCGACATGCTGTGCGAGAGCGAAAGAGACGACATGGAGGACATGTCGTAATTAGCATAACACGCAGCCATCGTCATTTTCTACTTGTTTTTTCAGCACACACAAGACTTAAAGCTTTAATTTTGTTGTTCACTCTTTGCTTAATTTTTCAGCATTTCATTTTTTCTTTTTTCAGAGCTTTTTCACTGCACTTAGACTTTGACAAACTTTTTTTTTTTTGTTGGCACTGGTAATCCAAGAAGTGAGAGAAATAGACAGCGTTTAACTGTAATTAAAGCTGCTGTTTATCCGAGTGTGTGTGTTTAAATGTGTGTTTGTGTGTGTATAAGAGGAACCTTAATCCATATGTTGCTGCTGCTGCGTTTTTTTATTTGGAATTTGCTTTCGGTTTTGTTGATGTTTGTTTTCTTGTTGCTGTGTCGCACCCGTAATTCAATTGTTTTGCTTTTATTGTATTGGTTAATCAGTCTTGTTTATTTTCGTAAACTATTTTAGCTGCAAATTGAGTTTGTGTTTTGCTTGTTGTTTTTTGTTGTTGGTTCAGTCTTTATTTATATGCAAAAACACGCGTGTGGTTTACAGTTTTATTTTTCATACGCTATCGACAGGCGGAGAGATTTGCTCGAACACGTCCGTTCACGTTGAGCAGCGCAAGCGAAATGAAACGAACGCTTAAATGTTGTTAATTATTTTTTATTTTGAGCATTCAGCACGCTGGGAGCAAGAGCGTTATGCTGAATCGGCATAGACGTGCTGAATTGAGAGCGATAGAGAGAGATCAATAACAGCTGTTTCGCGACGCCAACGTCAATGTTAAGATGTTTGTTGTTGTTTTTATATTTGGAATTTTATCAAATTGCTTGCACTGTCACATAGAAATATTTTTTTTGTCACTTTATAAAATAGTTTTCTATAATTGTTTGCTGCAATTTTCAATTTATTTCAATGGCAATGACAAATTTATATCATTAATTTTTAGAGACTCTTCCGAGTTCGGTTTACGCAGTAGTCTGCACGCGTCAAGCTCTCTCAAGCGACTGTCTCTCGGAGTGTGGCCCTTTTTGCTGGCCAGCATTTTACCTGCTGATGTGCCATGGCTGCCGCACAGCTGATTGCCGACTGGGCTGTGACGTCGACACGTATTCAGCACTCACTCACACACACGCTACATTGTTATCGTTGCTGCAAACGCTTAAGCCAATTGCATTCAGTGGCTGTAACTGAAACACATGCCGCATCACATGTTGGCTCTCACTCTGTCTCTCTTGTGTACTCTGTGTGGCTGTCTATGTATGTGTGTGTGTCGGTTTAAGTGTTGGTGTCGTTTACAAATTCAGCTATATAATAGCCACGGCGGCCATCTTTACAACTGCTTTCGTGTTGTGCGAGAGAGCGACGTCGCTGCCTTTTTATTTTGTAATCATATTTCTGCTGCCGTTCTCGCTCTTTCGAGCGTGTGTTTTAAGTGTTGCCCTGCTTTAATTTTTATGATTTTTTTATGGCCTCAGCCTATGCGCAGTTTCAGTTTTATGCGCTGCTTTGATCATTCAAATGCTATCAAACTGTTGTTTGCTGCCATTTAATAGCCCTGGCGACAAGCTCTTGAAAAGCCAAGCGCATACATTCATACATGCACACATACATATGCAATCCTGCAATCCTGCAATCTTGTATAGATGGATGAATATGCAATATAATTTTAATATATGTATTTGTATAAAACCATATGCAAATATACACACATGCTTATGTACATGAGTATGTTTGCATATGATATATTCCGTTTCACATTATATGCTTCTGTGCTTCATACGTCTCCACATTAATTCCAGAGCTTTTGCTGTGCTATTTTACTGCAATTTGCTGTCATCTCTTACATATTTCTATTCGCTCTTTCACTCTACATTATGTACAAAGGTGCGGCACAAAAATAAAATCCCAAAAAATGAAACTAAGGCAAAAGCAAAACAACAACAATAGTCACACAACCGAGCAGTGGCAGCGGCAGCGGCAACGGCAACGGCAACGGCAGCTGCCCTGTGACAACAAAACCAACTACATAAAATAAAATTCAAACTAAGCCACACGGAAACTGCGCAATGAGCACAAAGATTTTTAGTGCAAAAGCTGCCAGCCAGCAAAAGAGATTATGCCCCTTCTCCTTCTGACAGACACAGAAAAACGAACAAAGCATAAGAAGCGACAACACACCAGCAGCCAACAGCAGCAGCAGCCGCAGCAGCAGCAGAACAGCAACAACAGTAACGAGCCAGCATTAAACTTAAATGTTGCAGACATTTCTGCACTAAAAACTAAGCAATTTAAGTCAGCGCCTTCCGTTCTCCCTCTTTCGCATAAGCGACACCGTCATCATCAGTATCATCGACAACGCCAACAATAACAACAGCAACGTCGACGTCGTCGTCGTCGTCGTCGTCTGCAAGCACATATACTAACTTGGACACACACACAGTAGACGATTACACACATTGTAATAAATAAGGAAGGTCGTTGCCATAGCAGCAGCCGCCGTTGGCGTCGTTGTTGTTTTTTTATTTCTTTTACCTTTTGTTGTTGTTAGTGCGCTGCTATTGCTGAGCGTGAGAATTCAGCACTTGAGGCTTTGGGCTCTCTCATTAGGTCTGTGTGCGTCTCTCTTGCTCTCTCGATGTATGTGTGCTTATTCAGCGTCGTTGATAACAAATCAGCTGTTTCGTGAAATACGCACGCAAACACACACAAGTCGACAATAATTTACGAGCGCCCGAGTACTATTCAGAAATGGGGAGGTGTGTCTGTGTCCGTGTATCAATATTGTTTGTATGTGTGAGTACTTAACTGTCTGGATATATGCCTGTGTGTGAAGCTTTGTGAATTTGGCGTGCCCATTGTAGTTGCCTTTGTTGTTGTTGTTGATGTTGAAGCATATGTTTTGTTTGCGTTTTTGTTGTTGTTTCTTTTTGCTGACTGCCTGCTTGCGTGCTCAACGCCGAGTCGGCCGCATTACAGTTGATTATGAGATGATGGTAAGGGCACATGGGGGAGCCCCAATTTTTAAATTACCAAACTGCTCAAATTAAAGAAAATAGGTACGCGAAGACCGCAAGGTAGAGAGAAACAGGAAATTGGCCAAGAAAATGAGCAATGGGTAAATTGAATCAACGGTAATTAGCTTAGGCGCTGCAGCAGAATGGACACACATACACATGCATATGATTGTCACTTCGAGCGTTCCTGCGTGTGCATAAGTGAATTATGCATTTCTCATCTAAGAATACTCTTAATAAAGAGCAAGCACAGAGGTATTTTTTTGTATCATGGAACCATTGTGTGTTCCCGTGAATTTATAACTAGTCTTAAAATAATACCATTGTATATTTTTTAAATGAATAACAAAGGAAACTCTATACAGCTGAATGTGGGACTTATGCTCTCTCTCTCTCTCTCTTTCTCTCTCTATTTAACTGCCGTTCACTTATTAAATCCAGCCCACCTCTTCAGATTTCCTGTGTAGACGTTCTAATCGCGCTTTGTCATCGCCTTGATAAAAAGCTAGTTCATCATTATCGCCACCGTCATCATCATTATCAATATCCATAACTTAGCTGGTTTGCTGGCTGGCGGGCCTTTCTACTACGTTCACATCCTTAGATGAGCCCGTCCGAAACCTGTTTGCATTATTAAGTAACCGCTCAGCTCGGCTCAGCTTAGCCGAGTTGAAAGAACGAACCGGTTCGATCCATGGGCTTCCTGTAATGCGCATTCTAAAGAAGAATCACACAAAGAACACAACACAAAAAAGCAAAGAGAGTGGAAAAAAATGCATGAAACTTTCGTTTTTTATTTTCACAAGCCTCGACGTTTGAGGCTGTTGTTCTTGTTGCTATTGTGTTTGTCTTCCTCTGTGTTGCTATCTCCGTCTCTCTCTCTCTCTCTCTCTTTCTCTGTAAATGTATGTGTGTGTGTGTCTTTCGCTGTCTGCTTGCCGAGTCCACGTTTGTTAATTCGAAATAAAAACAGGAAAATTTACTTTACAATCTGTGCTAAAATCGTAAATTTTTAGCTGGCACCGGTCACCGGGCATCGGGCACTCAGGGGAGCGGCTCAGACGCCGCTGTGCCCGTTCGTCCGCCCTGGGCCAGGTAAGCTAATCCGCTTGCCATGGTCATATGCCGATGACTCGCCTATTTGTTCTCAACTCTGCGCTGTTATTGCTGCCGCAGTGCTGCTGCTGTTGTTGTTGGTTTTATTTGCCTTTCCACGTATTCTGGGCTTGGGCTCATGCCTAGTTTCTTGTTATCTTTTCTTATTTAATTTTTGTTGTCTGTTTTTGGCAGCCATTGCGCCTTCTAATCTTTCCAGCAATATCATCACGCGCTCTTTAATTTCAGAGCCGTTCTCTTTTGCTGTTGCAAAGCTTTTTGGTATTCAGCGCTGCCTTTCCAACAGCAACAACAGTAACAACAACAACTGCAGGGCAATTTGCCCTCTCTGTTCTTCCATTCTCTTCGCTGAGCTTAAACCGTTGATTGATGCGTTTCCCATTCGGAATTTATGCCATGGACTATTTGGGCGAGCGCTAAGCAATTCATTTTTCAAGGCACACACACACTAACACACACACATGCGCTCTGATCCCCTCCAGCTGCGCAATCAGCAGCCGAGATCGAAGCGTGCGATACTCAGGAAACAGCGACAACAACAATAACAATCTCGAGGAGCTGGAAAGCGAAGCACTACTTGAACACTCCAGTTGGAGATCGCGTTCGTCTCGGACACGACGTCGAATGCATCTAAATTGCTAAATACCTTTTTATGGTTAGTGCTGCGGCCCCCTTCCTCCAGTTTCCAGTTGCCTGCTGCCTGCCTGCCTGCATCAATTTAACATTTTAAAAATGTATCTTTGTATCTTTGTGGTGGGGGCTTCGCCGAAGTCGTTCGTCCCATAGCAGAGTTGCCTGCCTATATATATATACATATATAATGTATTGTATACACTTTAGTCGAGAGTCCGACAGCTCCTTACTGATTCATCATGGCCATTTTTGTGGACTGCTGATTGCTGGGCACACATTGGCATCTTTTTAATAGCCCCCACAGGCCCATCGGGAATTATTCATTCTCATTGTATTCCGCATTCGGCTGCTCTCGAGTTGTAAACAATTTCAGTTATTTCTGTCCTGTATTTTTTAATATATTTTTTATTTGCCTTATCTTATGCAACTAATTGTCAGGCATTCGAGCTATTTAGCTGCCAAAAACAAGTTCCTTTCTGCGCTAGGCCCAGGCCCTTCCATCGGCAGCTGTCAAATGCATAATTAAACTGACCTTCGACGCAGCAATCGAAATGCCGCGACTCTTCCTCTCTTAATATTTGTCTGCATGTTATTTTTTGCCTTTTTTTAACTAACATCTCATTTCTTCTTCATATTTTTATTGCAAATGCTATTAAACGAATTCCCTTGAAATACTTTCGGAAGCAAACCGTTGCCTGGAATGTCGCTGGGTTACCCTTTGCTCTAAAAACAAGCGACCCTGACTCAAAAATTATAGACATAGCTTTGCTTATTTGAGGAATTTTTTCTGTTGTTCTTTGTATTCGAATAATTATATAGGAAAAAAATGAAGATAGTTCGCCCGTACTACTGAATGATATATTAGACTCGACTGCAGAGAGCAGTTCTGTTGATGGAACTCGTAATAATATCTTTGGTAGACGAGCTGATGGCTCATCATTTAATCACCCTTTCTTTGAACTGCTCTCCGGGGCCGGGCCTGGATCAGAGACGGGGCCAGGGCACTCTCTGCCTCCCTAGCAGATCAACTGCACGCACAGCTGAGGTGAGCCAAGCTGAGCTCGTATACCTTCTGGCTGTCATAAAGATAAAATAAAAGCCCAGCCGCGTATATTAAAAATAATTTCAAAATAATAACAGTGGCTCTGGCCCTGGACAGTCGATCACTCCGACAGCAATTGCCATAATCTTGTCTGCACTTTACAACAGCGAGCATCTCGTAATGTGATGCTGGCTTAAGGAGTCCAATTAGCAAG